TATATTGAGATAGTATTGTTTGTTTTTGTAAAAAGAATCTTACGATATTATTAGATGTTGATAATGAATTAGAAGAATAAGTTGATGTTGTTAAAATTGAATCCTCCTCATCTTCTTTATCTATATAAGATATCACCATATGCTTTTTTGATGTTGAAGTAGCCAAAGCCAAATTGATAAAATTTTGTATTTGTTCAGGTGAATATTTTACGACAAAGTAAGGACAATTCTTAAGATAACTAGAACAATAACGTAAAGTATTGATAATTTTTATATTCTCATCTTGCAGAGCAATCTCTTTTCCCACCGCATCTATACATGCTCTACAAATATGTTTTCGGTTATTTTTATTTGCCCACTCATTAGATATAATATAGAAGTATTCTGTAAGCCAATGTGGTGGCTTTTCTCCTTTGCGTTGCATAATTTACAAGATGGCAAAACAATTGAATAATTGATTAACAAAAAGGTTCGAACTAGAGTATAAAAATTGGTGCAGTATTCTGTAAAATTGAATGATTAATGATTATTGCTATTTATTAGTATCTAAAATCAAAGGTATACTGGCTTATATTATTGTATTACACCACCTACCACTAACCAATATCTTTTAAATCAAGTTACTGTTATTATAACTTAAGAAATCTGAACAATTACAAGTTCTTTACTTGAACTAGTTCGAAATATATAACAATCGTATGATAGTTATTGATTGTTTTATTTTTATTTTTAGCCTGAAAATTATCAATTGAAACTTCTTATGAAAAAAAAATTAAAATTTCCCACTAGCCGATACATATAAATCTTGATTTTTTAAGTTGCACTTAACTTTTCGTTATAATTTATCACAGTATAAACTAAACTAATTATGAATATTAGTTTCAAAAACTTATGATGATACTATGCAGATAATCAATTTATGATGAAAAGTTTAGATTATCTGTATCGGCAGGTTGGTCAATTTTTTTTCTTATGAATGTTTTGAACAAATGGCAAAAAGGTTCTCATTTTAAATAATATATGCTTTCAAGAGATAATTTCTAAGCTAAAAATAAAAATAAAATAAGCAATAAACGTATGTATGCCAAATTGATCTATATTAATTTTTTTATATAGTTTTTACCTTGGTCATATACTAAAATAATAGAAGTAAATTAGCATCGAATAATCATCAGATATTAGAAAATTGTCCGAATTGTCCTATGCAATGTGATCGGACATTGTTCAGTGACAACCATAGCTGTACCACATCGGATATCAGAATTGTATAAAACAATTCGAAAATGTCCAATGTTCAATAAAAAATCACCAGATATATAGCTTGCATAACCCTGATTAAACAAGCAAATTTGGCTATTCTATAAGTTAAATTTGGCTACTCTATATATTAAATTGACTATATTAAATTAATAATTTGGCTATCAAAAAAAAACTCTTTCCCATAGATCCCAATTTCATAAGTAAACAATAAAAACAAAATACGGTAAAGAGTAGAAGACCTTACAGTAACTATATAACTATCAGCTAAACGGAATAGAAAGATAGCCTTTGGAACTCCAGTCTCTTTTCTAACTTTGTTGCTGACTATGTCAGCAACGGATAAAAATAACAACCAAAACAAAAAAAAGGATACAACAGGCCTCCAAAAAAAACACCATATCTATATCAACACAGAGCACTACAACCTAATGGATGAATAGGACAAGAAAAGAAAGTGTAAAACTGCCGACAATAATACCATCCTCACTTCACTCACTAAGGACAACGATATTTTGAAAAAAAATTCTGGGGAAATAGCAGATTCTAGCTTACCTCTGATTCTGACAGGAATGACGTCAACACCCAAAACAACAACAAACCAGACCCAGGACCCAGCACAAACTTCGGCATATAACTTTTCTATAAATAAACAAAATGAGCTAACCCTGATACAAAACACAACCATGCCTGACACGGTACCACCCACAACAAAAAAACATAGAGAAATAAACAACTCGGCCCTAATAGAACAAGATCCCGAGTTCAACCAACTAATAGACAACTTGCCCAATATGGAAATAGACCAGAATATGATCATTCTAAATAGTGAAGAAAATAACGAAACCTGCTCTATTGACACAGTACTAGATGAACAGCTACAAACAAAAATATCATATAGCCAAGCAGTCAACAAAAATCTCCCAAACCAAACCAGAAAAATTTCAAATAGACACTACAATAGCAACAAAGAAAAAGAATAGCAAGAATGTGTCCAAACAGCTTTAAAAGAAATTAGACAAGAAAGACTTGAACCCTTCGACGCAACAATCTGAAACTGTCTGAAAATCAAAAATGCACTAACCTCACTTCAAGATCTCAAAGAACTAATTAAATACAAGCTTACAACAAAACCTATTACCAACTATATCCCAACTGCAATAACTGCAAAGTTCTTCTACTGGGATACAGCCTTCTTTAGAAGCTTTACTCGAGTTATAGCAGCCAGACCACAACATCAAACAGAATTCAACAACCTTTTCCTTAAAGTATTAGATATATATAAAAAACAACATGACGTTCTAGCTATAAACAAGAAAAACCAGAACCAAATTTTCGAACTACTCTGAACCAAACTAGCTCTGGACTACTTAACCAATCTAGACTTCAATACACTAAATATTAGGAAATTACAAGATACATATTTTACCTGGCAGAGTTTGCAAAAATATAAACAAAAGATCTTGACTTCGCAACAACATGGCTAGCAATCACAAATCTTATAACAGACACACTAGTACCCCTACCTGCTGAACCAAAACTTATCTCTGGATACCTGCAA